TGCAGCATCTCATTAAAACAAAAAAACACCCCTTCGATTTACACGTTCATGAGCTGCTGCTACTGCACCTGCCCACGGACTGTGTTCACATCAAGGCCAGCAGGGTAATGTGAGGTAGTAAAACCAGATGCTCTCCTGTAGTCAGTCTATATTTAATGGTACCTCAAGGATTTCAATTAATGAGGAGGACAAAAGGAACCGACGTGACTCTTCAGTGGAGGAGGAAAAAGGGAAAGTTAAAAAAACCGCAAAAGAGGGAAAAAGTGATCGAAGCTTGGATATAGAATACTGGTTCTTATCATGTTTATTTATACTACCCAGCTGGGGAAATAACCCTTCCCAAACCACCGCCTGGAATGCTGCACAGCCTCAGTTATCCCGACGGGCTCCCCTCTGGAATAGCATAAACAAACCACACGTCATGGGCAGTCGGATACATGATACTTTCATTCATTAAGGATGGCGACCAGGTACAATTTCCCTGTCACCTCACAAGGCTTATCCCTAATTTATGAAAATAAAGCACATATAGATTTTGTACATTTATATATATATATAAATATATATATATATAAAAAATACACACTGCCAGTCAACTTCACACACACACACAAACACACACACGGATAATGTGCACACCCACCCAGGAGCAACGAGTCTGATATCAATATTCTACTTGGTGTACACACCCCCTACGTCTAGGAAGTAAGAAAAAAAATCCCTTTTATGGCGATTCTGCAGGCAGAAAAATCAGTACAAAATACTTTGTTGTACAAAAACTGCAGGGTTTTCTCTTTTTTTTCCTTTTTTTTTTTTTTTTTTTTTTTTTTTAAAACAAGATCACCCAACACGGTAACGACACCCCCTCAGTAATGAGCTACATCCCTACGAGGAAAAAGGAATAATCAAATCTTTATACAATTGTAAAAAAAAACAAAACAAAACAAAAAAAATTGTAAGCTGCTCTGCAACCTTCCTTTGCTAAAAGTTAGAGACATTACCCCTCATCCTAGCAGCAGATTAATAAATAAGGATTAAATAGTCTATTATACAAAGCCATACCCAATGGCAGACTTCAAACCGAAAAGCTTTGCAGATACTTCCACTTCCTACACAAATCTTTGTTTTATTAAGAATAAGACTCAGTATAAAACAGGGGCAACAGCCAGCACTAGATCTATATCTACAGGACTAACAGGAAAATCCAAGGGAAGAAAAATATTTAACAGTTTATGGCACCTTTACTGCATAACACATTTCAAGGCTCTGTTTCCCTACAACTAACGAGTAAAGGGCTCTTTATCTCAGCTTTTATTAAGCAAACTCCATATAACCAACCACACAGTGGCAAGAGACAGAACCAGCTGTTCCCAGCTGCAAAAAATGGATTGATTTCCACCCTAAAAACCAGCACAGCTCCGGTGGCAAGGAAAGAAACGGCCCCTTCCAGTTCCCTGATGCTCCTTTGGTTCCTCCCAGGGCAAATTCCCTCCGTTATTTGCGTCGGGGGGGGGCCTTGCTCAGTAACTGTTCTCGTGCCCAGCCAGGATGTAGAGGTTGCTGTGAGCCTGAGGGTTCTCCGTGGGCCTGCTCTCCAACACCACCACTCTGCAACCAAACACAAACAGGCTCCAGGAATTTCAGTGGCAAAAGGTGAAAAGCCCCGTGGTGTGGCTGCTGAGGAGGAAACTCCCGGGTGTTTCATTCTTTAAAGCACTTCCCTTGTTTTGCAGCATCACTTCTGATAAATCCCTGCAGTGGGATAACAGTGGGAGGTGTCCCTGCCATGGAACTGGATGATTTTTAAGGTCTCTTCCAAGCCAAACCATTCCATGATTCCATGATCTGCGGTCTGAGTGTGTTTATCCCTCCCACGTCTTGTGACGAGCATCGGCCACTAACCCAAACAATTCTCCTCCCTCCTAAATATTTATCTCTGATGGGTTCACAGGGATCACTCAACCTCCATCTGTGCCTTTGTCCTGCTGGATCGTGTTCCTGTGGGCTGCTCTGGAAAATGAGTCTCTCCCTGTCCTGGCACACACTGACCACTGTCCCCATCCCCTGCTGGACCTTGACCAGCAGCTCATGTGCTCGGGCCTTTGCCCTCCCCTCTCCCTCCCAAATGCCTGCATTTCTCTGCACCAGTTCCTAGGAAAATACCCTGTTGTTTTTTAGGACTACACTTCTCTCTCTCCTTTCTCTTTTCCTCAAGATTTTCAGATGAAGTCTCTTAACTCCCTCTGTCCCTGATCTTCACCTCTGCACCTGAGCAGTTCTGGAGCGATCCAAAGCAGGAAGGTGCTACCACATCCCACTGCTGGAAGGGCAGGAAAGAATCCTGTTCCAGCTGAACAGAGATGGAAAACACAAACCAAAGGGTTTGGCAGTTTAAAGGCCAGAAGGATAAGGGATTTAAGACCAGGAGCTATTCAAGGCCAGGGTGGATGGGGCTTGGAACAACCTGGCCCAGTGGGAGGTGTCCCTGCCCGTGGCAGGGAGGTGGAACAAGATGAGCTTTAAGGTCCCTTCCATCCCAAACCATCCTGGGATTCTGTGATTGGAACTGATTGCTGCATTCCTTCCTATCTGCTCCTACATTTAGCACTGAAACCACCAGTGCACATGTCCAAGCCAGAGATTGGGGCAGCTGCTGCTCAGCTTCCAAACCTGGAGGCAGCTGCACCTCTTCCCACCTCTGGAATCAGCTGGATGTCATGGATAATGAGTGAATTTAGCCCACTGTGATTAAAACTTGTGAGTGTTGCTGGTTTGCCCTGCTATTTCACCATCAGCAGTGATTATTTTAAACTCACTATCTGCCAAGATAATTCACAGTTCACCAGGAAAATCCAAGCCAGGAGAAGGCTTTTCCAGGCATCCAAGGGCATCTCTTATCTCTCCCTGTCACCTGCTGCCTTACAGACAGGGCTGTGGTGGGCTGGAAGCCAGTTCCAGCTGGGAAACTAGAAATGCTGCTTTAAATAAAACAACAGGTTTCTGTTTCTTCATGGGTGATTTACCTGTCTGACCCCAGCAAGCGGAAAACCCTCGTTTCATCCGATATCTCCTGGGTCACCTGCAGAAAAAAGGGAGATACTTAAGATCTGTTCCAGGGGCAAAACGAAATTTATTGGTCTGAGTCGGAAGGAAAATAAAAAATTCAAATGAAACTCGGTGCAAACTCCAGGAGGGAAACAGATTAACTGGTCATGGAGCACGAGCAGTGCCGGGGGGGAAGGAGAGAGAGGAGCCAAAGGATGCAGGGGTAAATAAGGAGCAGGAATAAATGAAACCTTCCTGGAGAGGCTGGGAGATCACTTACTTCATCTGACTTAAAGCTCTTGCCCTGCATGCCGTGTTTCCAGAAGGCCAGCACGCTGTCCTGAAGGCACACTGCAAAGGGAAAGCACAAATCACACCCTGCTGTTCCCTGGGGCTTTGTATTCCCAATGATCCCGGAGAAAACCCCAGGAAAGGTATAAACACAATTCCAACTACTATTTGAATTACTATATTTACTTCGAAATAGAACTATTATATATATATATATATATATATATTCATATTAATAATTGAATTATTATCTTTCACTATTAAAAAAATGGCTGTGCTGCACTTGAAATAAAATCCCAACTTTTAGAAGGCCCACACAAAGTTAAGTATTACTAAAAACACTTCCTTCTCCCCACATTTTTATCTTAGTGCTATGGAAATGACCAGAAACCAGAAGAGTTCTGCCAGAAGCAAATCACTCACCCACGGACTCGATGCAGAAATCAAAGCTCAGCTCTGAGGCCAATTTCTTGCTTGACTTCAGTTTCCCTTGTAAATTCACTATTTTCACAAATTCTCGAGAGAAACAGAAAAATAAGTATTAAAACCTCATGCTGGAAAGGATTTAAATCAGAGATACTAATTTAATTTAATTAAATTAACTAATTTAATTAACCCAAAGTTAACATCTACGGTATTTGCCTAAAATGAACCCGAGAGCATCTTTCTCTCAAAATAAAAATAGAAAACTGTTTTTTTTTGTACACTTGGCATGTTTTTAGACTCCACTGACAGATGAGGAGAGAAAGTGGAGTTACAAGACTCAAAATGAAATCCCACTTATCCAAACTGAGGCTTTTTGGAAATATTTCAGCTTAGTAATGAAGGGAGAAAATAAATTAACTTGTGGGTAGAGTCCGGCTCGACAACTGTGGCAAAACAAGTTGTGCACGAGGTGTAGGAGGTTTTTCCAAGAGGATTGTGTTACTCACTGTCCAGGCAGACCAGGACAGTGTCCCTTTCCAGCTGTGTCACGTGAATGGCATCCAACTGCTGATTGCCTGAGGAAAAAGGGAACAGATTATTTAATACACAGAAAGAGACCGATCTCAGCCTCCTCTCAGCCTTTTCACCGGGCTGGTTGTTACTCTGGGTTATTTTTAAGGCTCCAAGATCCCAGAATTCACAGGGAGAAGGACAAACCCCTCAGTTCCAAGCAGGTATTTAATATAAAAGCACTACTTTGAGTGGATAAAATACATTTTGTGTTACAGTTCAGCACAGCTTCCTTCATAAAGAGGCACCATAATGAACAAAAGGAATCCTCACTCCTAAAAAATGTTCCTTTCCCAAGAATCCACATCTGGAATGATTATTGTGCTGATACCAAGCTAGATTGAATAGAATTTCATAGATTTTTTTTTTTTCCTAGTGTTTATTATTGAAGTTGGTACAGTTTTAAAGGTAAAAAAAAGGATACCCAACAAGGGCAGCAGAGAAAAGCAGCTGCAAAATATCAACCAGGTCGTGAAGACAACCCAAATCCTTGCTTATTAAAAGCCAGCTGAAGATGACAAACCTCCCCCAAGGGCTGGAGGATGGAACAGAATTCATTTCTGGATCCTTCACACAGGAAAGGAGGGGAAAGAGCAGGAAGACTGATCCCAGGAAACAGGGAGGGACCACGAAGGAGAACCCAACCAGCAGGGTCTGATTAGGGGTTAAGGAGATTTGGAAAATAAAAGGTGTGTCTGAAGTGTAAGTTTTTTAACAAGGCCAGTTTATGCTGAGGTGGGTGGGTCAGCACAAGAACACAGGAATCATGGAATTACAGAGTGATTGGGAATAGAAGAGATTTTTAAATGTAATTTAGTTCCAACCCCTGCCATGGGCAGGGACACCTTCCACCAGCCCAGGGTGCTCCAGCCTGGCCTTGGACACTTCCAGGGATCCAGGGGCAGCCACAGCTTCTCTGGGCAACCTGTGCCAGGGCCTGCCCACCCTCCCAGCCAGGAATTCCTTCCCAATATCCCATCTAATCCTTCCCCGTGTCAGTTTGAACCCATTCCCCCTTGTTCTGTCCCTCCATCCCTTCTCCAAAGTCCCTCTCCATCTTTCTTGCAGGTTCCCTTCAGGTTCTGAAAACCTGGGATCTGCTCTGGGCAGAGAAGCTGCCAAGCCTCAAGCTTTTCCAGCTGACCCCCGAGGAGTCATTCCCAACATTCCCAGAGAATCCAAAGGGCTGGAAGGTGCTCCAAGAGCCTCACCTGCCCCGATCTCTGTGAACCAGGAGGACGCCGAGTTGAGGTTGATTGTCTCGAACTGCACCACCTGGTTGGGCTCGGAGCCCTTGCTGATGGCCACACACACCATGGGGTACTCCTGCTCCGGGATCACCAGCATCTCAAACACGTTCAGGGGGCTTGGCAGGGGGAAATCAAAGTGCTGGGGAGAAAAAAAAAAAAAACAAACCATCATCAGGAGGTCGTGAATTCGATTTTACAGCGAAATAAATCTACGATAACACGCACAAGGTGTAAATACAGAGAATTTTTCACGGCACGAACATCAGGATGGGCAGATGTTGCAAGTGCTGGGCTTGATCCAGCACTTCAATGACTTCTGAATGACTTCCATGGCTTCAGTCACAAGGATTTCTGAGTCAAAACGAGTCAGGGCAGATTTTTTCAAGTGCTCACAACCCACAAATGGCACCAGACCGGGACGTACTTTCCATGACAAAACTCTGGAAAGGTCATTTCAACAACTGTATAATTATTAAACTTAAACTGCAAGTAAATCCTTACCTTTATTAACATGAATTTCTGCATGGGCTCATACCACTGGAGCAGAACAATTCCAGACTGCAATGCCCCACAAAGGTACTTATGGCCTGTGTATGGATTTCGTACTGTAAAAAAATAAAACAAATAATAATAAAAAAAAAAAAACCACCCTGAAAACAATAATTTTAAAGTCCTGGAAGTTCCATTCCTTTTTCTTTAGTACAAAGAACTAAGTTTATTCTTCAGACGTGCCACAGCCAGGAAAACAAACAGCACAGCTGGACATCTGCTCACCTATACAGCATTTGTGGCATCCTTTCGTGTCAGGGATCTTGGTCGTTAGGGCAAATTTCCTGGAATAATAAAATTCACCAAAAAAAACCCGCATCAGCAAGAGATGTCAAGGCCCTAAAAACTCAACAGCGCCGACAGCACTGCTGGTTATTTTCACTTATTAATAATAACTGTGTTTGTACCTGGGCAATATTTTGTCAGGAAATCTGTGGGTTTGAATATGAGCAGCTAATCCCGTTTTTTTGGCTTGTTCAAACAAAGCTATTAAATTATGGGAGTAGAGCTGGAAGGTTTTCCCTGGAAGAGAGAGAGAGAAGAGCACAGGTGACGTCACAGCCAGCCCTCCAGGGGGGAACTGCACCGTTTGGGAAAGTGCAGGTAGGGGAAATTACCTTCTGGAAACACGGAGCACCAGCAGCAGGGAGGCCAAGCCCAGGTGTGAAGAAAATAAAGACAACAAAATTAATAAATATGGAGAAGACAATGAACTCAGAGCTCATTTCAGTGAAGTCAGGTTTATGTAAACATTTTTAGAAGGCTGTAATTATACAATAATTAATATCAGGGTACTTTATCTATAAATCAACAGAAATGTTGTCCACCCTCACAACCAGCAATTCCTTCCCAATATCCCATCTAACCCTGCCCATTCCCTGTGTCCTGTCCCTCCATCCCTTGTCCCCAGTCCCTCTCCAGCTCTCCTGGAGCCCCTTCAGGCTCTGGAAGGGGCTCTCAGGTCTCCCTGGATCCTTCTCTTCTCCAGGCAGATCAAACAACATTGTACTGAATCATCACTTTATTTATTTATTTATTTATGATTCCCCTTTATTTATAATGTCAATAATTTCCCCTCTCTTTCTACCTACCTGACAAGGACATCAGGGTGTTGTTGATAACGTACAGCCAGGTGCATTTTCGGGGAAATAACTGACAAAAGAAAACATTTCTATTAATAGAAACAGCCAGGAATTTCCAACCATCGGTTTCTCTGCTCCACCACCACTCCTGCAGGGATCCACTCTGATCCTTCCCTTTAATTCCCTGTTTTGAACCCTCTGTGTTTTTTGGGATGTACCTGCCTGGCTGTCTGTGTTTGGAGGCTGCTCTGGGCACGGACAGACCAGGGAAGATTGGGACTGAATTTATCCCAGAGGGAAGAAGTTCCTCACTTTGGGATGCACTGAATGGTCTCTCTGCCCACCACTGGCACAGCCCAAACCTTTCAAGGTGATTTCAAAGGGCATGGGGAAGAACCCAGAGAAGACTGTCAGGTGAAATAACTTAGGAAAACACATGTGGAAAGAGATTCCAAGGACATCCTGACCCTAAAAGAAGCAAATTTAAGCCCATGAATAGATGAAGTGGCTTTGGAAAGGGTTAGACAGCCCAGGCAAAGTTTCCTGGGGATACTGAACGGGTTTGGGAGCACCCAGAGGAGCTGCAATCTGCCATCTAGTGGGGATGGGATGGAGGGAGAAAGGGCAGGGAATCAGTTCTCCAAGGAGAAGGGGAAGATTTGACAGCACCAATAAATTCAGGTGGGTCGAGGAACTTTTTAATTTTCAGACTTCCCTTGCTGGCTTTGATGCGAATCAGTTTAACCCACAGAGCCTGTTATCCCACTTTTCCTTCCAATACCAAACTTCATTGCTTCATAATATACCCAAACCTATTCTGTGTGTTCAGCCCCCCAAAACTCACCTGTTCCATTGTTGCCTCGTGGAGTTCATTCAAATTCAAAGTATAGATCCCTTCTTCTGTGCCAAAGATGATGTACTGGTCTGAAAAATGCAGGGAAAGGGATTATTTCCTGAGCTCATCACCAGGTTTGAAAAGGCAAAGCTAAAATAACTTTTACAAATTGATTGCTTCCCAAGCTTTGGATTCCAACACAACCCTGAAATAACTTTACCTTTAGTGTCTGGATGTATCCAGGATGTTGCACAATTGATCTTCAAAGGACAACCATCGAAGACTTTGGAAAAACATGCTCCCATCTGAAAGACACCAAAACTGAAACCTGAAACGAATTGAGAGGATCAGGTGTTTGTTTTATCTTCTGGCACCTGGCCACTCACACACACACACACACACACACACCTGCAGACACCACTGCTCTCCCTTTCCACACACAAACTTCCCCTAAAATGCTTGGATGCCAAACATTGGTACCTTCCCCAACAGCTCCAGCCTTCCAAAGCTTTTTGCAGACTTCAGATATATTAAGGAATGTAAAAAGGGGTCAAAATTACATCAACAGCTTACTGGGTGAGAACAATATACCCTGGGGGGGTTTAAAAGCCACGTGGATGTGGCACTTGGGGACGTGGGTTGGTGGTGGCCTTGGCAGTGCTGGGAATGGTTGGATTCAGCCTTAGAGGGCTTTTCCAACCTAAATTATCCTATAATTGTACATGTGAATATTAAATGCTGACATAAATGGCACAGGAAGGGAAAAACAAGCAGGAATTGAAGGACCTTTTCCCATTTCTCTTCCCAAGCAGAGGTCACGGTTCAGGGAGCCAGGGAAGCCTCCAACCTTCCACATCCCCACTGAGCAGCGACAGGAAGGTTTTAAAAAGAGGGAACAGATATTGTGTGTCCAGTATAGGAAAAATAACTGGCTGTGGGGCGCAGAAAATCCCCCTGGATGAGCTGGTGCCTTATTCCAGCAGAAACCTTGTGACCCTGGAGAGAGGGAGAGGAGGTTTTGGTAACTCCCAGTGCCAAGGGGATTTCTTACCAGCACCTTCGGAGTCGGAGGCAAACCGTTGATGGCTGGTTTCTGTGGGAAGAAACAAAGGGGATAAAACACCTCCCACACAAAACACTGGCACAAACCCAGCCTGGCTGACACGACAGAGCCACAATACCTACAGGGAAATCTCTTTTCTCCTTTTTCCGTGGGAGCTGAGGGATTTGTCCGGGTCCTTCCGCGTTTTCCTCGATGAGTTTCAGCATCCCGTTCCCGTTGCCTGCAGAGAAGCCCAGACAGCTTTTGTAGCTTATTTGACACAGTGGAATAGAAAAATCTGTTCTCCCCCAGTGCCCAGCAGGAGTGGGGAAGTGAGCCCTGACACCTCCATATCCACATCCCAGATAACTAAGCCCTTCCTGGGACAACTGGCTGCTCCTGTCCGTGCTAAGTTACACACTTCCCATTATCCAAACAGTCCCAAATTCCACTTGGAGGATAAAGCTGTGGTAAGGTCCCTGCAGATGATCCTCCCCCAAAACATTCCTTGTTTGTCTCCTGTTCCTGCAGGCCACGCAGGAATGGGACTGACTGGCTCAGTGTCCTCGCTCTGGGAAGAACATTCCCACCACGTGTCACGGCCCTAATAGGAACCAGCACACCAGGAAAGGGGAAAGCTGCCCCTCATGCTCAGCTGGGTTAAAACATCATCCCTGTAAACAGCTGGCTCTGGAAGCAATTCCTTCTCCAGGGCACCAGTCACCTTCAGGAAAGGGAAGGCATTTACCCAGGTCGCTGTATCTGGCTGTGAGCAAGCCGGGGCTGCTGATGCTGCTGGTCATTCCAATGGGGCTGGAATCAGCCTGGGGGCCACAAACTGGGATGCTCTGTCTCCTGTGGGCTGCTGGGGCTCTGTTCTGGGAGTCTGGGAAGTGTTTTATTGTCTGGCATCTCTCATCATCCGGGAGGTGTTCCTCGGGATAACTGTTTATTCTCGGCTGCAGGAAACCAGAGGGGGTGGTTAGTTGGGAAATGTCAGGAATTGGGAATGGAACCTGGGGAGCACAATCTCCAGAGAAGGTGAATTTAAGTCAGGCTTTCTACATTAAAAAAAATATCAGCCTTTGAAAAGTGTGTGAACTTTTGGGCATCACAGGTGGTCTCTGGTGAGCAGTGACAGGACCCAGGGAAGGGCTGGAGCTGTGTCAGGGCAGGGTTAAGTTGGATTTTAGGACAAGGCTCTTCCCCCAGAGGGTGGTTGGCACTGAACAGGCTCCCCAGGGCAGTGGGCACGGCCCCAAGGCTGCCAGAGCTCCAGGAGGGTTTGGACAACGCTCTGAGGGACAGGGGGGGATTGTTGGGGTGTCCTGGGCAGGGCCAGGGGTTGGACTGGATGATCCTTGGGGGTCCCTTCCAACTTGGGACATTCTGTGATTCTACAAAACAAGACAATTGACAGCAGAATAATTTCACAGGGGTTCCTCCCTGCTGGAAAATCAGAGGCAGAATGCACGACAGGAGGCCATCCCAGGCTGCCCCAAGTGGGGTTTGCTGCCTGAACCCCTTAAATCCCACAGCCCTTACCTTGGGAGGCAGCGGTGGAGGCCCCGCTCGCTTTAGTGTCGACCTGCAAAGGGAAGGGCAATTGTTGGCTCAGCTAAACCAAAACCAGAATGAAAACCACAACTACAGACTGGAAATAAGATCAACTCGAGGCAGAGAAGAGGCAGATCAGAGCTTTGCACACACAGGGTTAAACTGGAAGTCCAAGAGCAGGGGGGAAAGAGCATTAATCTCGTTAGGAGTGTTGGTTTGGGATCAACTCCCATTCTCTCGTAAATGCCAACGTTACTCGTTACAGAGCACTCTGTGGGGAGGGAGATTTGGAGTTAGTAAATAAATACGCATTCAGGAAGTGGATCTCAGGCTGGAGAGGGACTTGGGACAAGGGCCTGGAGGGACAGGACACAGGGAATGGCTTCCCACTGCCAGAGGGCAGGGTTAGATGGGAGATTGGGAAGGAATTCCCAGCTGGGAGGGTGGGCAGGCCCTGGCACAGGTTGCCCAGAGAAGCTGTGGCTGCCCCTGGATCCCTGGAAGTGTCCAAGGCCAGGTTGGAGCACCCTGGGCTGGTGGAAGGTGTCCCTGCCCATGGCAGGGGGTGAGATGGGATGAGCTTTAAGGTCCCTTCCAACCCAAACCAGTCTGGAATTCTGGGATTCCAGTTTGCAGCCTTCCCTGTGAATCAGCCAAACCTCCGGGCACCCCTGGATCTGCACCAGAGCTGTGCAGGATTATCTGCATGTCCTGTCCCAGCCAGGCCTGGCTCGCGGCTGATGGATTAATCGACATAAAATCTACTTTAAAACAGCAGGCACTTCCAGATGGACTCAAGGATAACTTCAGGAAGGAGAGCAAGGAGGGAATGGCTTTGGACATTCCCCTGAGGATGAGGGCAGGAGTGAAGCTTGCAGAGCAGCCAGCCCTCAGTTAGTGGTGAGTGGCAAAGCTGCTGCAGCGTTTTGAGGGGAGAGGCCCTGGAGCAAACACAGCTGTGCAGGAAGGAGATCCACTCACTCTTCAGCATCTTCACTCCCATCGCCAAATTTTGTGAGCAGTCCCCTAAGGTGAAATATTTGTACAATTAAGAGCTCTGCTCTGAGGTGCGACTGGAGCCATCCCTGATGTCACTGAGTTTCATAACAAGCATCTCCCAAGCCCTTCCAAAACAAATATTTCCCTTATTCAGCCCTTTTTCCATTCAGTTTGGTCCTTCCCTTCCCCTCACCCCCCAAAAATCGCCAGGTCTCTCTTCCACACCATCAGCTTTCTTTTTCCTGCCTGCTCTTTTAAATATTATTGACATGTCTAACAACAGTGCAACATAAAAGAAGGAAAAAAAAACAACAGAGGAAGTTTGGGAGACAAATGGAGAAAAGCCTTGAAAAGGAAGTTTCCTTATATATATATATACATATATATATGTATATACAAAAGACACAGACTGCTTCCCATTGCAGTGGGAATTTTGGTTTCAAAGCTACCCCAAGGACAGCAAAAAAAAAAAAAAAAAAAAAAAAAAAAAAAAAAAAAAAAAAAAAAAAAAAAAAAAAAAAAAAAAAAAAAAAAAAAAAAAAAAAAAAAAAAAAAAAAAAAAAAAAAAAAAAAAAAAAAAAAAAAAGAATTGTGACCAGAGGATCAAAGCAGCACTGAAAATATAACCCTGACACCAAAAAAAAAAAAAAAAACCCAACCTGATAACATTTTGCAAAATGTCAATTTTCAAGTGGTGTCTTTTAAAGGGTAACGACCAGGAAAGCCCAGCCAAGTTTGGATTAATGCAAAGTTTCCCTGCAAGTCACTTCTGAGGGAAAGCAGCAGCTGCCCACAGGAACTACTAAAAAATTTAAAAGAGAAAAAGTCTTTCTTTTTGAAAGGTTCTTGTTGCCCAGAGAAGCTGTGGCTGCCCCTTCCCTGCAAGTGTTCCAGGCCAGGTCGGACAGGGCTTGGAGCAACCTGGGATACTGGAAGGGGCTGGGATGAAATGGGATTTTAGATCCCTTCCAACCCAAGCCAACCTGGGATTTTATAAAAATCATAAATTAAAAAAAAAAAACCCACCACTTCCATAATGCAGAAAATTTATACAAAAAGGAATTTTAACCGAGAAAAATGAGAAAAACAGGGAATGATTTCGATCAGCGGGGAACACATCCCGGGAATTCCCCCTTTCCAGTCAAGTAATTCCTGAGTTGAAGATCAATCACTCCCTAAAAGCCAAAGGGCATGAAAAGCAAGGCCCCCCCAGCAAACATCCTCTCTGGACATCCATCCCTGGGATTACTCAGAGCTGCTGGGACAGAGCAGTTATGCATTTCCTGTTTATCTTTCCAGCTGGAAGTGGTTTCCAAGCGAGCAGCACGGATTTACCAGCCAGGATGGTGAATCCTGCCCTCCTCCCAAGGCTGAATCTGTGTCCATGTGCCCATTTCCAGCCCTGGGAAGGTTTGCTGTGGCCACAGTTATTGTGCTCTAACACAGCCTGGTCCAGGCAAAGCCACAGGAACAGAATCCACTCACTGATCCCTCTGCCAGGGGCAGCTTCCCTCCCTTCCCTCCCTGCTCCCTGACCCTGCAGATTGCAGCTGGCTGCACAAAATCCAGCCTTCAGCTCAGCAGGGCCACACAAACAGCCTCAGAGAGGGAGGGAAGGGAGGAAAACAGTCCCTGGCTTTGCTGGGCAGGGAGAGGCAGAGCCCAGAGCCACCACCCCCCCCCTCCAAACTCCTCCTACGATGAGACTGAGAACAAAAAAAAAAAAAAAAAAAACAGGTTGAACTCGGAAAGACTCAAATCCTGGCGAACTCCACGCCCCCAGCAGCTTTCCAGGGGGCTGTAATGTCAGCTGACAGCTTATGCAAGACTTTATCTGCAGAAAAAACAAGCCAAAGAAATCCACTGTCTGCTGCTCAGCTCCAAATAAAGATGGGAAACAGGCTCTTGTGGCTGAGCAATCATTTCAGCCCAAACAGCACCTTCCCCTGTGTCTGTGCATCACTCGGTGTCACCGAACTTCCACCCTCCTCGCTGCAAATCCAGGCACTGCCTTTAAAGGCAGGATCCGCTGCTTTGCAGCAAAAGGAAGGTGCTTTCACAATAAATTCATGGCAGAATCCCAGACCCCGCCGATCCCACCCCGGAGCAGCAGCAGGAGCTGTGCAGATGGACTGCTGGTAGATCTGAACCCTCAGAGCTGGGCTCTCCTTCCCTCTCTCGAGCTCAGGGCTTGTCACAGGATGTCACAACCACAGCCACGGCTCAGAGGAGAAGTGAGAGGCCAGGGCAGGATCCTGAACTGAGCCCTGCAGGGTCAGCAGCTCTGGCTGGGGCTGTGTTATGGCAGAGACCCCGCTCGTGCATTTACACCTCCCTTGTGACCTACAACCTTCAAACGAGCTTGTGCTGGTGGTTAAGAGAGACTAAAACTCCTTCTCCAACCATCTGCAGAAGGAGAACGTCACCCTGGGCAACATCTGCTTGATTTATGAAAATTAAAGTGCATCAGGGCTTATGGTTTGATTTTTCCCACCACAGCTGATTTTTCTCTCAGCGTAATTTCACTTTACGTGTCAGAAATAAAAGCTGGTTTTAGCTGTACTTACTTGCTGCTTCCACCATCAACAAAAGGGTTCCAGTGTGAAGCAAAGTCACTGCCAGCTGCCACAACCTGGAGATGCAGAAATTGTCATTTTTTTTTACCCCTCCCTTGTCAAACTTATTCACCACAAACAAAAATCAGCAAGGATCACTCAGGGAACTTAAAACAGGGAACTTAAAGGACATTTTTCCAGCAAGCTGCTTAAGAGCTGAACCATGAAACAGTGAAGACAACTGTGATTTTAATAAACCAAGAATAAACTTGTCCTTACCATTTCATCCCGAGCTTCTGTTTCTTTCCGAAGAGGGGGCTCAAACTGCAGCTTGTCAACTACAAAACGTCACATTTTCATAATTAATACACACACTACTGCAGGAGGGCCCTTTCAGTGCTTGCTACAGTGAAAATGCAGGTTCAGATCTAAATACTGTGTACACAACACTTTATTTGCCTGTAAAACTTCAGCTTTATTGCCTGAAGGCTTAAAGCTGCACATGGGAAACCCACAAGAAAGCCCAAAGGGAAATACCAAGTCACTAAATGAAGGCACAGGAATACAATTCACTCCATGAATATACTCAGATGCAACTATTTAACCACGTGGCACCTTTAAATGCAGGTGAAAGAGAAGAAAGAAACAGCAAGTCCCCCAAAAAGTGTGACGCAGAGGAGCCACAAAAGACTTCTGTCCAAAGCTGGAGGAAACCCAGGTCTAGCCTTTAAAATTTGCACTGAAGCAGGGCATTAATATTAATTTTGGGGTTGAGAAGCTATGATTGGAGATTCACACACAGAAGCTGCTTCTCCTGGGTGTTTGTTTTCCAGATGGGAAGGGGCTTTCCAGACCCTACAAACAAAAGGACACCACACACGTCCTTCTGGAAGGATCCCCCCAAACCAGACATCCCCCCCAAAAAAAAAAAAAACCTGGGCAAAGCTTCCCCCCAGGAACTCACAGTTTATCTCTGACGCTGTTCTCTCTGCCCTGATGTTCCTGTTGGTGGAGCGGATGGTGTGGCGGATAACGGAGTGAGGCTGAGGGGACAAGAGTTGGGAATGCTCCTGGATCCCCACCAGCAGCACAAGCAGGAGGAGCAGCCGTCACAGCCACACGCTGCCAAGCTGCAGCCTGACCTCCCCCAAGCCGAGCAGGGTGTTGGGAGTGGAGTTTTAGCTCAAATGAGGGACGTTCTCACCTCAAAATCGTCGTCGTCGACTTCGCCGTAGTGCGTGTGGTTGTCGGGGTTGTTGACTTTGTCCAGCAGCTCAACTGCCAAAGACCTGGAGAGGCCAGGCTGCCCCACAAAGCTGTGCTGGAACCACGGGAGGGAACAGAGGAGAAGGTCAGAATATGCAATTCACAGGTAACTTTCATGAGCAGACATCAGATATGGAACGTTACTGATTTTTTTTTTTCTGCTTTCTGGAGGCTCAATTATTATTTTAATAACTCCTTAACGGCCTGATTTTCCAACCCTTCCATAAACCCCACACTCTGGGCCACTTGTCAACTGGAAATTCAACTCTGAGTCAAACAAATAATTACACTTTAACTTCATTTTTTACAGTCAAGCAAAAGCAGAGATCCACGAACAGCTAAACCTTTGGGTGACAGGAAGGGCCAATGTCTACAGAGCCACAAGGCTGAGACACCCACCTGAAGCACATTCCTGTAGCTGCTCCTCCCCCAAATCCTCCACTGAACAAAACCCTGCCACTCCCTAAAAGGCGACCAGCACCTCCCTCCTTCAGGTTTCCCCACCCATGTTTTAAAAATTAAAGCAAATGGTTCCACTTTGGTTTCCTGTCGATCTGTTGCTGGCTCTGAAGCAGGAGATCTCCTCCTGCTGTCACCACATGTCCCACATCACTTACAGAGAGGAGTCTGTCTGCTGTTGGCCTCTTCTTTGGATTTTTTGTAAGGGCTATTTTGACAAAATTATGGAATGTTGCCGACCTTCAAAGAGAAATGAGGGGTTGTGTTTAATTTTTCAGGGTATTAATGATTTTTAAGACACTTACTAAACAGGTCACAAAAGGGCGTGATGAATCAGGGTGCTGTCAAGGTGCTTAATTTCAGCTTTGAATAATTAAATCTCCAAGCTAACAAATGAGGAAAAAACTCCTTTTTTTTTTTTTTTTCATGGAATTTGCGTAGAAAACATTTGCACAGCACCAGGAGTTAAAGAAACCATGCAAGGATGAAACCGTCACTTGTCCCACTGATAGGAAAAATGCCCAGACAGAAATTAAGGAGAAAGGATAAAAATGATTTTCCTTCCTAGAACATACAAAGAGCCCCAAAGAAGGGCCCCTTCTTCATCAATGACAAGTAGTTTTTTTCCCATTATCTACAAAATCATATGAATCATAAACGGTTTGGGTTGGGAGGGACCTTAAAGATCATCCTGTTCCAACAAAACACTGAACAGGGGAAAGAGTTCCACTCACCATTTTGCTTTTTCCTTTAGCTTTGGCGGTTGAAAATTACTTTTTGACATTAAAAACAGAGCCCTGGAGGTAAAAAAAGAACGAGGTTATCATATGGTAAAAAAAAATGAATTAATTTCATCCTAATCTTCAAACACTTCAATATTTTATGGTGAGAAACAAACTGGTGAAAATTATTATGCGTTTAAGGACAGATAGAGTGAAGCTGCTGATTTTCTTGACTTTAAATAAAATCTTTTTAGTGCCATAATCCTGCTGAACTTCAGGCTACCGCTTTTCCAGTGGTTAATTATCACTGGTAAATCTGTACCTGTTCTTAATCAGAACCTTGATCACGGAATCCCAAAATGTTTTGGGTTGGAGGGGACCTTAGAGCCCATCTCATTCCAACCCCAACAGCTTCCACTAGGCCAGGTGACACTAAAAACTTGACAATTTAAGAGATTTTTGGTTACAATTTCAATTCTCAACGTAAGGGTTTAACTCCAGAGCGATCCCGTAAAACCGAGCACGGCTCCCGCAGGAAGGAGCCGTTCGATGAGGGAATCCCCCGGGATACAGGGAAGCTCAAACTGAATCCCAACGGCTCCTGCTGGGATTGGAGAGGCTCCTGGAGGCAAAGAAGGGCTCAAACCTCATGGGGTGCAGGTCAAACATGGGGGGCTGGAGCTCAGCCAGCTCGATGGCCGTTATCCCCACGGCCCAGATGTCGCACAGCTGGTTGTAGCCGCCGTTCTTCTCCACCGCCGCCACCTCGGGGGCCATCCTAAAACACCAAGGGCATCGTCACTGCCAGCTCCAGGCCCTCTGGATACAAAGAGGGACTGAAGGAAGAGCCCCCACGCCCATGGGAAGCTCCAGGCCCTCTGTGGACACAACCCCCACCATTCTTGCCCAGGTCCTCCTTCTCCAACAGGAGAACAAAGCCCATTGTGTGGATGAAGCTCTTTGCACCCACCAAGAACAACCCCCCCAGGCTCCTCCAGTGATGCCAAAACCCAGTTAAATTTGCATTTATAACCCAGCCCCAGATTTGCAACGATCTGTTTGCATATTAAATGCTGCCTCGTGCGGGCATTAATCAGTAGAGATGATTAGGAGATAGTTGAAAATTCCTCTGTTTTTCTGTCTGCACAGAAATCAGAAAGACATTGATTATTTTACTCAATAAAATAAGAAAGAGAATAAAATAAGTGAGAAACTAAATAACCATTAGAAAAAAAAAGGGAGAATATTCTGCATTAATAAACTTGGGAAAAACGGCAATCCTGCCTCAAACACCAGGCAGCAACAGATCAGCTCCAATCAGCGCTTCCCAGATTTTTACCCTCTGGGCATTTTGCTCGGAAGAAAGGGAATTCCTGCAATTGCTGGATACATGTGTGTGTATTTTATAATTTTTGGCACAAATACAGTCTCAGATCACAGCAGTCCAAGTGGTGTGTTACCAGTAAGGGGTGCCAATGAAGGATTTCCTCTTCGCAATGGTGGCTGTTATTTTTGCTGCTACCCCGAAGTCAGCTGGAAAATAAAACCATCAGAGACTTGGAAATCTCAGTTTTAAGACCCCAATTCTACTGTAAATTATTATTATTATTATGAAAGAACAATCATGTTTCTCATCCAAATCAAAAATTCATTAAGGTAAACGGTGAAAGATTAATAATGAGATCATTAATGTCTTCACTGACCCGATTTCAAATCACTTTTCTTTCTACTTCCAGCTCACTTGTGATCCTGTTCTTTTCCCAGCCCAGCATTCCTGGCTCACCACAGGGGTGTGAAGGTGTTGAATTAATGCACAACCCCCCCAGTCCCGAGCAGGGACACAGCGGGACAATGAGCACCCCACGGCAGTTCTCATGGATACACACGGATCTGTCATCACTTCCTATCACCATTTATTGCCCCAAACAATCATGGAATCATTTAGGTTGGAGAAGACCTTTAAATCACGGAGTCCAACCCCTCCCCCAGCACTGCCAAGGCCACCACTGCCCCACGTCCCCACGTGCCACATCCACAAGGCTTCGAAATCCGTTTTATAAAGTTCGGGCAACCCACCTAATTTGACATCCCCGTGGTCTGTCAGGAGAATATTTGCACCCTAAAACACAATAAATGGAAAGTTACAGCTCTTTCTCGGCAATATTTGTCCTCCACTAGAAAGTTTTGAGCGTCTCCAAGTGCCAAGTTACCTTGATGTCCCTGTGCATTTTGCCCTTCATATGCAAATAAGCAAGACCCTGGAAATGAAGAGACACCCAACAGGTTATTTTATCCACTTGTTAACATACAAAAACCCAGCCTCATTTAATACATTTAAATGCCTCAAGATATTTGATTTGGCAAGGGAGATATTCTGAGATTTGCAGGAAAGGGGCACCCTGGATTCTGTTCCTCATCTGCACCCAACAAGTGAACCCTCAATTAAACCAGTCATGGGGTAACATTTTACACTGATATGTGTTTGATTTTTTTTTTAAATAAACCTTTACTAAAATTACATTCTGAAGTCCTGAAGGTTCCTTTAAGAAACAAGCTTACCTTGTTATCAGCAGCCACAAAAGACAATTTCATTTATCTGCTCGTAGCATTTTCCCTCCACACATCATTAAATTCGCTACCACGGGGCAAGCAGGAAATTCAAAATTTAAGCAAATATTTGCACTACTTTATTAATAGAGTTTCTTGCTTAATTTTTATTTACAACATGGGAACTAACCAGGTTACCCCCCTGGCTAATTGGTCTCTGCTTGATTCCCAGCAGTTCTGGGAACTGAAATAATCTTCTTTATCTACTTTTATGGAATAAACACTTCATCCTAAGCCTGCCCAAGTACAGTACCTGTAAAGTTTCTCTGCACACATATGCAATTTGTAACTCTGACAGAGGTCCTGTCACTGAAAATAAATAAGAAGTGGGTAAGTTTGCAGCACATACATTTATATTTAATACACAGCACATAAATGACGTCGGGAAGGAGCAGCCAAAAAGTGCCACGTCCGTGCAGAAATCAAAGCCTGAATTTACAGGATCTGGATTCTACTCTGAGCTGAAAAGAGGGGTTTGTTTGTTTGTCTGTTTTACAGAAAGGCTTTCTGTTAAAAAAAAAAACAAAACCACAACAAAACCCACCAAACAAACAGCACCATAACAGAGGACAATGCCCACAGTGAGAAGAAAACCTGTTTTCACAGAAATCTAATTACCATTTTACAAGAGACCTCACAGCACTAGAATGTCCCTTATTCTAAAGGAGAGTAAAAACCAAAGTGACTTCTGCTAATATTTCAATATTAGAAAATGGCAATGTTGCATTTTAGGGACTACCTACGGGGCTTGGAATTGCTTCAAAACCATTTGTGCCAATTAATTTGTACTTAAATTTTAAAATTATTTACAACTAATGAGTTCTGCTCCAAAATTAGAGGTATTAGCGCCAAAATGACAGCCACCACATCCGAAAAGTGCTCTCAAAATCTGTTTAATGGTAGCTAAAAATCACTATTCATCCTCCCAAAAAAACCCCAGTGCAGTGCCTGGCCAGTCCCTGTTAGTTTATTGTTTAATTTATATAATTTTTTTAAAATTTTTTAATTTATTTATTTAATTTTCTTCTCTTCAGAAAGCTTCCAGAAGTTCAGAATGTTCAAATAAATGCCAGAGTACCGTGGTAAATGTCCTGGAGGGATCCCCCACCGCAGTATTCCATGCATATCCACAGCTTCTCCCGGCTAGGAAAGGAAAATGAAAACACAGGCATCAAAAGCTGATTGATTTGGCTACAGAACAGAGTTAATCACCATTATTTAAATTATTTTCTATTGGTCTTGATCAGCAGTTGTGCTGTTATTAATATAAATTCTCCTGTTATTAATATAAATTACCATGTTATCAGTACAAATTACCATGTCATCAATGTAAATTCTCACCTACCAAAAGGAAAATGTAATGCCAGGATCCCTGAGAAGTCTTTAAATATTATCAGCTCTAAAAGGTGGTGCTTCAGCTCTACAATAACGTGGGGCAGAAACACCTGCTATCAGCAAAGCTGAAAGATAACACATTAAAGTGTTTTGGTTTTCAATTGGAATTGCCTAATTATATAAAAAACACCCCAATTCATGCTCTCTATAAGGAGGGTTAAGAAATTCAGCCATTTTATTCCATTTATTGAGTCCATGTGGGATGTACAGATTATTTAAATGCAGCCCCCCCCCCCCCCCCAAGAAGTCTAAAGGCTGCAGAAAAAAAGACCAAGCAGAGCCAACTGACAAATGGCAGGATTCCATAGAAATGGAAAATATTCCCTGATTTTCAGGGACGCAGCCAGGATGAACCTCAGCTCTGCCTCTGTGTTACACCAGAACTACGAAAAACGTTATCACCAGCACCTCAAACGGGGTGTTTCCCCTGGCTGTGCTTTCCCCAGCCCAGAAAACCGTCATGAAATAAAACATCCAGAAGCAACTCTGCTCTAGAGAAATGTATGACATGGTTTTATATTAGAACTGATAAATGTATATGGGCAGGATTGGATGTTGCAAGAGGCTCCAAGGGAAAAGTTTCTCCTCGTGATGAAAACATTCCAGCCTTTTTGGCCAGCAGGGAAAACAAACTCTTAAGTCACTTTTGGATTTTAGAGCCAACTTTAAAAAAAAAAAACAAAAAACAAACGAAATCCAAAGGGAATTCAATCTATGGAAGAACACTGAGAGAGGAGGTGAGGATTAAACCACACTGAGAGCCGTCTGGGAGAGAAAGCAGCAGAAATGTGGGAATAAAGAGCGGGATTTACCTGAGATAGCTCCCGAAATAGGCGACTATGTTGCAATGCTTGCACTCCTTGACCATATATATTTCTTGCTGGATCAGTGAAAAGTCGTCTCCTGGAAAACAGGAAGCAGCCAGGGGTTACATCACACGGGGCTGGATGTTGGGAGAGGCCTGGAGGGAACTGGGGAAAAACACGGATTGGGCTGGATCGGGGCTGAGCCCTTCTGAGCCCTCTCAGCCCCGATCCTTTTATTCCATCCTTTCATCAGGCACAAATATTTCCTGAAGATCAACAGGGAAGGGCTGGCCTGAGCACGATCCATCGGTTCAGACAGCTCAGCACGCGCGGGGAGATTTGGGAAAGGAGGGAAGGGATCCCACGGAGGGATGGGAGCACAGGAGGAACCTCGGAGCAGCCTCTGTGGAGCCAGCAGAGAATCCCAGCTGGAGCTGATCCAGCTTTACCAGGCTAATTCCAGAGTCTCCCGCCTGGAACCAGGAGAGCTCGCGTTCCACAGGCTTGTTATTGAAAGTGTTTTCATTCCCAAACCCCTGGGATGGAGCAGATGGCCCGGACACCCACTCAGCTGACTCAGAGCAGCAGCACAGAGTCCCCAGCACGGACTGTGCCTGGTTGGGAGCGTGGTTTGGGATGAGGACACCCACAACCAGCACGCTGGCACATCCTAAATATCCCCTGGGGGGGAAAAAAAATATCGACTTAAAAGGAAGGAATAATGTTCTAGATGCAATTTACAGTTCTATCAATATGTTTATAGAGATATCAAATGGATAGCAGGGGATGTTCTCCACAAAATCTACGGCTCCAACCCCGCAGCTCGGCCCTAATATTTTATATGTTATTACCTTTATTCTTCCTTTGGACAAAGGGCAATGGCTTTAAGCTGAAGGAGAGGAGATTTAGGTGGGATATTGGGAAGGAATTGCTGGCTGGGAGGGTGGGCAGGCCCTGGCACAGGTTGCCCAGAGAAGCTGTGGCTGCCCCTGGATCCCTGGAAGTGTCCAAGGCCAGGTTGGAGCAGCCTGGGCTGGTGGAAGGTGTCCCTGCCCATGGCAGGGGGTGGGATGAAATGATCCTTAAAGTCCCTTCCAACCCAAACCATTCCATGAAAACTGTAACAGCTTGCAAGACACAAAAGATTGGACTTGAACTAACGATTTTGTGGTTTAGATCAAATTCAGCTCCGGACGATGTGGGAGCTGCCAGGAAGGGAGAAACTGCTTTGGGTATTTTCCTTCAGTTTAAAGTTTCCCAAGTAAAAATTCTCTCACCCTGTTATAAAGTCAGGGATGTCCAACCCAGCAAACACGAACTGCTTTGTCCTGTTCCCTTTAATTTCGGTGGTTTTGACAAGTCCAAGAGGGCTCAAGCACTGCTGTAAACTGGATTCTTCTGGTGTTTATTTAAGTAGCAGCGTAGCTAATATTTTTTAATAACCTCTTTTAAAAGAGATGTTTATATTTGCTGTGCTTTGAAGCAGCTTCCCTGAGCAATGGTGCTGCTGGCAAAAGAAGTGCCAGTAACAGAAGTTATCACAACCTTTTGGTCTCACTGATTGCCAGACCTTTATTTAAGAAAACAACCATGAAATAGGAAGGTGGAAGGGAACACAATTCCATGAATCCATCCCTGACCCATTTCAGTAAATCCTCAAGGGCTTCTTGAAGTTGAATTATGTGGAGAAACACTTCACTGGGGCAGGAAAACATTAGCAGAGGAGTTTCAAATGTCAAGAGGCTTTTTATAAACACCAGTAGTATTTTTTTAAATAATGAAAAAGGGAAAAGGCAACAGAACTTCTACAAATTTAGCACAGGTTTCACGCTGGGCTTGGTGTAGGGGTTACCTTGCAGCTCCAACTCTGCCTCAATTCACAAGTCCTGCTTATAAATGATCACTGTGGACAGGGGATTTTTGAGTTTAGAGAATCCTGGAATGGTTTGGGTTGGAAAGGAGCTTAAAACTCATCTCATTCCAACCCCCTGCCATGGGCAGGGACACCTTCCACTACACCAGGGTGCTCCAACCTGGCCTTGGACACTTCCAGGGATCCAGGGGCAGCCACAGCTTCTCTGGGCAACCTGTGCCAGGGCCTGCCCACCCTCCCAGCCAGCAATTCCTTCCCAACATCCCATTCCCTCTTGACCTGCCTATAAAAAAAGTCCCTCTCTTTCCTTTTTATAAACCCCCTTGAGTTTAAATCTGATGGATTCATTCCTCCCATTTCTCCAACAAACTTCCTAAGGGAAGCTGTTGGAATTCTCACAGGTAACATTTAATTTTCAAACTACACAAGAATCTTCAAGAAAGTCAAATCCAAGCGGTTCTGAAGGTGGATCCTCCCATCCCACACGGAAAGAGGGTTCTGGCTCTCCGCAGCTAATTGTCCATGGGTTCAGAGGATCCACTGCCAAATCCCCACAGCCTCTTCAAATCACAGAATCCTTTAGAAAGAGCAGAGTCCTGGCACATGTGGGGAAAAAAATAAAAAAAAGCATCTCTGTAGCAGCAAAACCCTGCAGGCAGCAGCTGGAATTGCCCACGGACAGCACATGGATCGGGCTCGAGTGTGGAGCAACAGCCAAGTCAGTTCTAGGAACCATGACTAATGAGGAAAAATTGAAGGAAATACAGGGATTTGGGCAAGAAAAACGGCTGACAGTGAAAAGATAATAACCTTCATGCACATGGAAGATAGCAGGGAAAGGGGGAGAAGGGATAATCCGTGTCCAGTTTTATAACAGGACACTTAGCAGAGGGCTTAAATTGCCTTAACCTACATTCCCTGTGCAGATGGAAAGCTTTTCCCACTAGAATAATATCACAGCACTGAATGGGAAGGGATGGGAAGCTGTGAAAAAAAAAAAAAAATGAAGAAAACACTGAATAAGAATCCACCAGGAACAATTTGGAATGAACCTGCCTGTAGTGGACGGAGACAGCAAAGATGATCCCTCGGTTTGCAATTAATAAATGAAGAATTCGTGCAAGAAATGAGGGTTAACCTACAGGAAAAGAGGGGGAAATAGAATTTGGAAGTGGAAAGGGGGGTGCAGGCTGAACACAGATGGAGAAGTGGCAAAGAGATGGAAAGAAGAGAAGAGTCTGTGAGAAAAGTTTGGCTAAAATATGTAGGAAATGATTGTGAAAGATCAGACACAGAGATAGCAGAGAAGATGTATAGTCACTCAAAGAGGACAAGAATGAATACAAAACAAAGGAATTCAGAGTTTCCAGGCAGCTGGAGTATTAATCTTGGCAAGGGACGCTGGAACGGGGCAAAAATGAAATATCCTTGGATAGCAGGGAAAAAAAACCCAGACAGAATTGGTAGAAAATGCTTCATTGAGAGGGGAGACAGAGAGATAAAAAGAATTAGACCAAAGGTGACAAAACATCCACACAAAGAGCTTCTCATCTGGTTTAGCCATCAGTGCTAAATAACACGGAACTGGGAAAAGGCCCTTCTTGCTGCTCACACGTCTGCAATGCTGGGATGTGCTGAGAGCAGGAACGAGGAGCAGGGAGCTGCTGGAGGCCCACGAGCAGCAGTGACTCACTGCAGCCTCTGCTGGTTATGTAATTTTACCTCTGCAGAGCCACAGGGACACAGCTTGGGCACACAATGGAATATTCTCCTCGGGCGGCGGCCGCTCCGCTTGGCACAGCCAGCTTGGCAGAGCCAGCTGCTCGTTGTGCCGCACAGCTGGCAGGGAGGACGCTGCTCAACCCACTGCGGGGGGGTGAGAAGGGCCCATCCCACATGATAAGCATCTCCTGGGAAATTCAGGATGAATCCCTATGTAAATGGGAGATCACAGAGAAAACTGAGGGCGCCTCAACAGCGGGGAATTGTTCTACTCGCAGACACGGTGTCACTCCTGGGGGACAGGCTGGGAGAGCTGGGGGGATCACCTGGAGAAGGGAAGGCTCCAGGGAGACCTGAGAGCCCCTTGCAGGGCCTAAAGGGGCTCCAGGAGAGCTGGAGAGAGATGTTGGACAAGGGATGGAGGGACAGGACACGGGGAATATCTTCCCACTGACAGAGGGCAGGGTTAGGTTAGATATGATAACGGCAAAGCTGAAGGAGAGTAGACTTGGATTGGGTGTTGGGAAGGAATTGCTGGCTGGGAGGGTGGGCAGGCCCTGGCACAGGTTGCCCAGAGAAGCTGTGGCTGCCCCTGGATCCCTGGAAGTGTCCAAGGCCAGGTTGGAGCACCCTGGGCTGGTGGAAGGTGTCCCTGCCCATGGCAGGGGGTGGGACTGGATGAGCTTTAAGGTCCCTTCCAACCCAAACCATTCTGGGATCCCACGATTCTACGTGGAATTGGAATGCAGATATCCTGCCAAGATTTCCTAGATGGAGAGCACATGTCATTCTTGAGTTGGCACTTGGGATTTCTAACTCTTGGCACTTGGGCTTTTTAACACTATAATTAACATTTGTTATTTAAAAGTGGCATAACATTTAACAACAGGGCTGTGCAGGACACTGAAGGACAACGAGCAGGGTCGCAGCACCCACAGCCTCCAACACTTCTCATTTCAACAACCTGAGCTCCCCAAATAAAAAAAGGGGAGGAAAACCCATGGGAATGACAAATATTTGCCCCAGTCCACACACTCCCCAGCCAGGCAACATCCACAGCTCCTCTGTGCTGACTTCCAGACATCCACCAGTTCCCAGTCACTCCCTCCAAACCCCTCTCCTGAACCTCAAGGGGGTTCAGGCTCTCCCAAAATGCAGAATCTTCACCCACACTCCCCACTGCTTTTCCCAGTGGAAAACCTGCAGTGCCACAGCAAGAATTTAAATTCCCCCCAAAACTTGAAACTCAGAAACTCGATTCCAAGCAGGAAACAGCTATTTGGAAACAGTGATGTTTCCACCAGCAAATTTTCCTGCTAGGCAAGCGGCTGCCAACTCCCAACCACTGATGGTCCTCATTATCTCCCCACTGATATAAAACATTCCCGATAGTGACGCTGCCACAGCAGCAGGAGCTCCACGGCAAGTGACACGCGAGAGTTCGGAATGAGCGTCCCACACCAGAACCATTTCCCTGTGGATTTTCTCTCCTGCCCAATCTGTACTGCCCAGGGAAGCTGTGGCTGCCCCATCCTACTGGAATTGTTCCAGGCCAGGCTGGACAGGGCTTGGAGCAGCGTGGGTTAGTGGAAGGTGTGGCAGAGTGTCACGCTCTGCGTTGCCTTCCAACTACAATGTGTTATCTTCCAGCTCCTTTACTACTCAGAGCACCCCCTTATCCCACCACAACCCTCTCCATCCAAGAAACTCCGTGTTTGAAGTCAGAATTTGCACTTGTTTTGAGTGAAAACCTGAAGTGTGAACCCACCCGCTCCGGATCCGCACATCTCTTAAGAACAGAAGTGGATTATAAATTCACCGTAAGGATGACAAGTAAAATCAGCCCAGATTTTAACAAGTTAAGTATCATTAAAATGCTGGGCACTCCAGATCCAAAGACCAGGCTGCCTCTGCTCTGCTCTGCGCCTGCTCCTGTGGCAGCACCACACAGGACATGGCCCAGCACAACCAGGCCATGGGCAGGCTTTGATGGCTCTGGCACACGTGGAACCTCAGGAATTCATCCCAAGACACCATCCCAAGCCCAAGGAGGTCACACAGCCCAGGGCAGGGAAGGGGTGTGTGTGGTACTGAGAACTTATTTTCATATTTCTTCAGCTCCAGGTGCTGCCAGCAACGGTTCAAGCCCAGCAGGATGAGTTTAAATCAGCCTCAGGCTTGTTCTTCTCCATAGTCATGTCATCTTCAGGGAATTTATCACATGGAGAGCCAGGCTGCATTGCTTCAGTCCCCAAAACACCCTGTGGTCAGCACAGCCTGAACCAGCCCCGTGGGCCACGTTCCTGAGTGGAATATGAACTTCCTGATCCAAACCATGGGATACAACACACACAGAACGAGCCAGAGCTGCCTCCGAACTGCTAAGCACAGCACACACCTCTGGAACCATCTGCAACAGTTCCACCTCCCAGCTTCAGATCCAGCCTGAAACAGGCAATCAATTGGCTGCTTTCTGGGATCTCACATGGAAAATGCAAACGTTGGACCAGACGAAAACCAGCAGTGAGGGTTTTTTTTCTGTCGCCCCGGGGGAAGTTCAGAGCGAGATTTCCACCGGCCCCTCCGAGTGTCAAAGGTCTCTGAGGGCACCATTTATCACTGCAGCGGAATTTAAAACAGACATGGCTGTATTTTGAAGTATTTTAGTTGTCACATTTTTCCCAGGGAGAAAGTTCTTGTGGCAGAAAACTCCACTGGCAAATAGTCCCCCCTTTGTATGGACCCCCCTCTCGATTCATCTGCTAAACCCATAGATGGAAGTGGCTTCAGTGTTTCAGACGGTTTTGGCTTCTCTGCTGCTGAGTACAGTTGGATTAGTTTCTGAAATAGAATTGGCTCCCAAATTATTTGAGGCATTTGTGCTCAGGGAATGCTGGGAAATGTCATTAGCGTGCCATAATACTTTTTGCCTAATGCTCTCCAAGTCTGTGCCAAGAGAAAAAAAAGGGAAAAACAGTGTCTATTTTGACTCCAGCAGCACAGCTTAAGAACTGTGGGAGCAGACCCAGAGCACTGCCCCGAATTCAAATGAATCACTGACAGCTCCAAACTTTGGGCTGAGTTTATTTCCTTTGTCTGGAGAAGAGGAGAATGCAAAAGCTGACGAAATAAAACCCAGATTTATGTTGGGCTCCTGGTAAGTTGGAGTCTCTTTGCCTACTCGCTGCCTGTGGGAGATGAGGGAGGAAGAGGAACAACCCCCCCTGCCATGTCAGTGATTTTCTGAGTCTCCCCAAATCCTGTCATTTGACTGTGTGCATCCCTTCATCTTTCATTCACCACGTTCCTCACCTCCTCTGGGGCACTCTCTGCTCCCCACTCCCCTGTCTGTGCATTAATCAAGTGGGGAGTTTGGAGCTCTGACTTTTCCATCTGTTAATTAATTCCCATCCACGAGCCACCTCCTCCTCCTCCCCCCCAGAAGATGCTGTACTCACAAGCCTATTTCCCTGGTGACTAAATCAGGAGGTTTATTACCAATCCTTTTTTCTAACTGTGTCCTGTGGTCTGACAGGAGCTCGTGCCGGTGTTCCCAGGGGCTGCCCTTCCCAGGAAATCACCACAGCCACATCCAACAGCTGCTGACACCAGGCTGCTCCTGGAACTGATGGTGCTCTGCAAGTACAATCCTACAAAACTCCTCAAAATTCATCAAAATGCTGAAGTTTGGAGCAGCCAACTACTTACTCCTTCAAAAATCCAGAATATTTTCAACACGTAGACATCCCAGACAAATAAAAAAGGAGTAAATAAGTCAACAAATGCTGTGAACCCTCCCTTAAAAACAAACCAAGCACCCAACAAGACTCTGCCAAGAGGCTGTGGGTGTACATGCTGTGGATGGAGATCGGGGTTGGCAACGTTTAAAAGAAGATGCATTAAAAAAATAAAACCCACCCAAAACAAACCAGGAGAAATCGCTTCCCTGTGGCGAGTCAGGCCAACATAACTAAACACAAGCCACGCTCATCAGTGCTAATTTACAATGGGGTTCTCAGAGTGGTGACTTTGGGCCAGAGTCTTGCATTTATCTCCTCAGTGCTTAAGCAGCTTTTTGCACCAATGTGAACACAGCTTAATGCAACGAGGGGATTTACAGATACTGCAGAGAAAGAAAACTGCAATATAGATATTGCAGATGTCCTGGCATCAGACATGGAAAGGAATCACTGGAGGAGTCAGAATGGCTGTGGGGATCGTGCTGGTGGGGGTCATGGCTGTGCCTGAAGGCTTTGTTGGCTCCAGAGGGTGAGAGTGGCACCACCTGCACAGCCTGGCTGCTCTTTGCTTGCTCACCTGCACTGGGAAGGAAAGGAAGAGCTAAAGGATCAAGCTCAGCCTTTCTCTTCATTTATTCACTGGAAGGTTTCAAATTTTTTCCAGCTGGTAAAGATGTCAGATTTCAGGAGCTTTGGGCTGTTAAAAAGATGCAGGTCAGAAGATAAGACCCCCTGAGGAGGGAGACCCAACTTCATCTCGACTATGTGAGAGGCTGGGAGAGCTGGGGGGGTTCCCCTGGAGAAGAGAAGGATCCAGGGAGACCTGAGAGCCCCTTGCAGGGCCTAAAGGGGCTCCAGGAGAGCTGGAGAGGGACTGGGGACAAGGCATGGAGGGACAGGACAAGGGGGAATGGCCAAAGGGTTAGATGGGATATTGGGAAGGAATTGCTGGCTGGGAGGGTGGGCAGGCCCTGGCACAGGTTGCCCAGAGAAGCTGTGGCTGCCCCTGGATCCCTGGAAGTGCCAGGTTGGACAGGGCTTGGAGCAACCTGGGCTGGTGGAAGGTGTCCCTGCCCATGGCAGGGGGTGGAATGAGATGAGCTTCAAGGACCCTTCCAACCCAAACCATCCTGGGAGTGTGTAATTTCCACTCAGGACACAATTTCTGATTGCAGCCCTCTGTGCAGGACTCCTCAGACAAGGCTCCAGCTCAGCAGCAAGGGAGCTTCTCCTGCATCTCCTGCTTTTATGTGGAGTGGCAGAAAATCCAGGGGGAAATGGGAGTAGGAGGAGCCCCCCTCCTCCCTCAGCACCGCTTACAGGAAAGATGACACGTGAAAAAGCACCGGGCTCTGTTTTTCCCAGTGCACCTTTGGTGGGAATCAACATCACAGCCTGATCCCTTCCCCCTCTCAACTCCCACAGCCTCCCACCTCCCCACCGCCTCAGAGCTCACAATTTACCACCTGCCCTCGATCTTCTCTTTGCACTGACAATGTGTCGTAACTGCAACATCTTTTGGTGCAACAATTGATAAGGGAGATAAGAGCAAACAAGGAAACAGTGAGCAGGACGCAGCCAAAAGCAATGGTACATCCTGCAGTGCTTCCTGTCATCTAACCACTGAAACGACACCAAAAAAATACCCAAACGCTTCTTTTGTCTTTAGAACTTCACGGTGCGTGAAAATAAACACGTGGAAAAAAAAAAATGAAAATGCGATTCAAAAATAGAGGAAAGAATGTCAAACTTACCAGGCTCTAACTTGATTATTTTTACAGCAGCCAGTTCTCCTGTGTGAAGATTTCTAGCCTGAAACAAGAGAGTTGAGACATATTTAATTAAATTATCCTGCAAAGGCACCTCACAGAGTCTTACAAAGTGTGCAAAGATAAATTCTGATGTGTGTTACGAAGCTGAGAGTGACCTGGGTGAGGATTATCTGGGTTGGGAACTAGCACAGCATCAGCCTAGCTGGAATTGTGAAATGCTCCTGGCAGTTCTTTTGGAGACTTGAAGACAGCCACCAGCAAATCACAGAATTTAGGATGGAAGAGACCTCCAAGGTCACTGAGTCCAACCCGGAGCACCGAGTTCCTTGGACACCTCCAGGGATGGGAACTCCACCACCTCCCTGGGCAGCCCCTTCCAATGTCTAATCCCCCTTTCTGTGAAGAAATGCCCAACCTGAACTAAAAAACGAGAGTTCACTCCTCTCAAACACCATTTCTAGGGGGAGTTTCTGCCGTGATGCACCGCGGGCTGTCGGAGCTCGACACCCGTCTCGTGGTGCTGAAACCTCAGGGTGCACCGAAAGTGGAACTGAGAGGGGCAGGGGGAGGCACTGCACAAGCAGCTTGAACAAGTCACAGCTCCTCTCCAACAACTTCATTCTGAAGAGCTACTCCTTCCAGCAGCCCTCGCTTCCCACGATCCTCAGGAAGAAGAAGGGGGAGGGAGATCCAGTTAAGCCTTTACAGAACTGTCCTCTCTGGATACGCCCCAAAATTCACCCTGAGAATTCAGCGCTGGAGGGGGATGTTACAGAAAAGTCAGAGAAAGTTTTAAGAGGGGATTTAATGAACACTTTTAACCATAATAACATGACAGGCACCATCACCAGACCTAAACTCTAAAATTCTGGGCACACAACCTGATTCCATCTGTGGCATTCCCCTTCTGCTGATCATCCAAAAGTTACAGGAGTCCAAACCCAATTGTTTCATTCCTCCCCTAACAAACAGAAAGAGTCTTCTGAACAGGTGAAGAAGTGGATTATAGAAAATGGGGGGGAAATTGGGTGAAATCCATTTGGGCAGTTACTTAAGATGAGGATGTGAAGCAAATCTGACCCTGGGAAGGGAGTCACTGCACAACAAAACACTCTTCTCCTGTGGGTGGATAAATCTTAACAACAGGTAAAGCAAGAACCTGAAGGGTGAACTCCTCAGTTTTAACAAAACTTACCAAGCTTCCAGACAGGGAAAGGCTTTCCAACCAGGAAAAAAAAACCCACAAAAAAACCAGACCCAACCAAAAACCCATCGTAGCCATCCCTGGCCTTGCAAAGCCCTGCAGTGCTCAGATGTGAGGTGGGTGTCAAACACAGGCCAAGGACACAAATATGACTCAGCCTGAGGTCAGAGAGAGCCTGAACAACTGTACAGTGGAACCAAAGATCTGAAGGCCAAATCACTGAAGCAGATTGTCATCTGCAAACCACAAAGGAAACATTCACCACTTCTGAAAGTACCTTCCTACCACAGCAAAATCCTTCAGCATCCAGAAGGAGAATGCATCCCAGTGTGGATAAAGGATTAGGAGCTCTCTGCTCCTGTTACAGCTGATGATGCTGTTGGGAAACATGGATGTTCCCATCAGGGACACACCCCCTGCCTTGGGGAAGGCAGGGATTTCTCACTGTCCAGTGTCACCCACAAGGAGCTGAGCTGCTCACATAAAGACTGCATGGCTTCCAGAAAATCAGCTTCACCTCTGAAGCACAAAAAAAGTATCCTATCCCTTACAAATATTGCTTTTCCGTACAAGCAGCAACCGCTGAAGGAAAAAAGCCCGAAGGAATGGATGGACTTTGCCAAAGGCCTCTTGGCTGGGATTGGGAGGTCCAGGCTGGAGATCAGGGCTGTTCCTGGCTCTCAGCTCCCCCACACAACAGAGCTCCACCAAATTCTACCAAATATTACCACCAGGCTTTTGCACATAACCCATACCTTGGACATGGACCACTTCACGTTTGAACACCAAACTTTGCTGCTGGAACACAAAGCTCCCTGCTGGGTCGGTATTTATGAACTAAACAAACCAAGTTCCCTTGAGCCACTCGCCCCCAGGATCAGTTTTCTGGCCCTCCAGGTTATTTTCCAGCCCTTCTGAGCTGGTGACACCAAACCCATGCGTGATCATCAACTCCTGGTGCGCCAGCACTGCAGGTAAAAACTTTGCTGGGTGTTCCCTGATCCTCAAAATCCTGGTTTGGATACCCACAGGCGTGGAATGGCATGAGATCTTCGCTCTAGACAGCCCAGAGTGTGCAGCAAACCACCCGACGTGCTTCCCACAGAAGCCCATCCCTTCCCCCTTCCCACCTGTCAGCTGCAAACTCATCAGTGATCAACTGCTGCTCCCTCGCACGTCATTAAAAACGCAGGGAGGCAAAGGTGAGAACTGGTTCTCCCTGGGACACGCCCAGAGAGGAGAAGTGTCAGCTCAGGAGTCCTCAAATCCTCGTGACAGGTGTGAGCTGAACCATCCCCGACTCATTTCCCAGCACTGATGACTTCGCTGCCTTCTGGGTTTGGGGTGTTTTTTGTTTGTTTGTTTGTTTGTTTTTTCAGAAAGAATTGTGTGGTTATCAAGGAAGTCACAGGCAGGAAGGCACCACATCAGCACTGCTGGCTTGGTGAATCAAACCTGCAATTCGACTACAGATCAAAAATATAAATCCCTGTGAAGAATCAGCTAATGATCCGTCGATATTTCTCACTGAAATCTTTCAATAGATGAATATTTCTTATTTTTTCACTGCACAGGGGGAATTGAAACGAGGCTAAGAAAAAAATTATAGGTCTTCTACTCTTCTTAATTACATTTTTCAAGCCCAACAGCAAAACACCTGCCTCTTCCCCACCCCCTGACATTTCCTCAGTACTCCAAGTCTCAATTTAAAATGAACTGAAGGCAACCAGAGGAGCTGTTACTGCACCCCAAGTAATCCAGGCCTGTTCAGTATCTCACAAACTGACATGGAAAATCATCATTTGTATGCATTTATCACAGGAAGATGACATGCAGATAATGAACCCTGATGATCTCTTCTGAACATTTCTAATATTTCAGTCTAATGGAAGATAAAACCTGATGGGTTTATTATTGGCTTTAAATTCTTCCAGCCTTGATTTCTTCAGTATGGAAGGAAGACTCCTGAGAACTCATCTGGTCATTAAAGGCTGAAAGACCAAATCCACACCTCCATCAGCAACGTGGTCCAGTGCCTGTGTACCAGAGTGGAGCCCCAATTCCCAGGATATTTTCTTTAAGGCTTCCCCCAAGAGGAAAACAAGAGCTTTTGTTATTTATTGCTACTGATCTTAATTTTATTCCATGATACTTAAAGCTGAAAATCCTGCTCCACATTAACTCAGAACAAAACTTAAACCCAGGGGATTTTGGCAGGAGGATTCCAAAGCTCCCAAAGCAGAAAATGTGACCTCCACAAGAAAGGGACCAGAACGAGGATGTATTTAAATGAGGTGAACCCCAGCCAAATTTCTTCTGCTCAGTGTCACTTCGAGAGGACATCTCCTGAGAAAGCAGCTTTTTGGTCACCTCTTCCCTCAGCTGAGGATGAGTGACAGCATCCCACTGAGCACAGCCCTTCCAGGATATGTCAGCAGCTGAATACTAACACTGCAGAGCATCACATGGAGCCTGTGTTCAAAATAAAACAAAACACGACTACTTTTTCCTTTTTTCTTTGAATATCCCATCGCGTGGCTGTAGGGACCGAGCACATCACACCTCACGCTGATGTGATGAGCAGGATTATTTTGGGGAGCTGGGAGGGTTTTATAACGTTACACACTCAAAAAAAACCTCAAAAAAAATTAGGTTTTCCCACTGAGATTTACTTTCCTCCCCAAAAAGCTGCTGTGGGACAGTGGAACCCCAGGTGACACCCGTGGCAATCCCTGCGCGTGATGTTTCCCACCAACACCACACGTGAGGAAACACGTTCTGGGCAGGACACTTTCTGCAGCCAACGACCAGAAATAACACAGAAAACTGGTTTCAGAACCAGTTGTGCGCTCTGCACTTGTGTTTTATTTGTTTTCTGGAGTGCAAGCCAAACAATTCCACCCCGGGGGGGGTCCACAGGACCGAGCCACGTGAGACGCTCCGAACTCAGAGAAATCTTGGACATCTGAATGCAAGCGCTCAGTGTGCTTTTCCAGGCACTGAACACCCAGGAAAAGAAAGATTCAGGCAGCAATATCCCTCTGCCAACCTCCAAATCAGCAATTTGGATTTCCATGGTGAAACCCCCTCCTGTCCCCGGCGCTGCTGTCTCATCTCCAGCCTCGGATCAACCGCCCGGCAGAGCCGTTTGTTCCACCGGGTCTCCATTTAATCAGATGATAATTGCAGCTCCCCTGGCAGCCCTCCCAGCCCTCCCCTTCTTATTCAGCCCTTGCCAAGCTTCACTCAGCAGTGACCACGATGTTCTGCCGTCCCCAGCGCTTGCCTGTTCCTCCCCAGTTACCGGATACCCCTTCAAAGGGTACCTGACCTCCTGCCCCGCCACTGACACGGGAGCTTCTCAGCCGCTTTCCAGTTCCTGACCTCTTGACACTGTGCAGCTCTAAACCTGCTCTTTGTGGTATGGAAAATCCCATTATCCTGCCTATCTCATGGCACTGTCCAGTTCACCTGCTGACGTCTCCAAATTCCCATTTATCACCGTTCAGAGCTCTCAGCCAACCCCAGGAAACGCCTCTCACCTGGGCTGCCCTAAATCCACGGCGACAGAGTCCTTTCCTACACACGGCAGGTATTTCCTCTGCGATCAGAAACGAGAGTCCAAAATATCACAGGCACTAGGGGAATTAAAAACACAAGATATCTGGAGAAACCAAGACTATGCACAGGAAGACAGGGGAGCAGAGCCCTTGCAACAGCAGATGGGATCTTGAAGGTGCCACCAAATCCAGCCCAGGGGGGGCTTTCATCATTTGCTTGGGGCTTTTGTTGTGAACACACAGACAAACATCCCTAAAATCCATAAAAGTCATTAC